TATTCTGTTTACATTTAACATATGCCTAGTTCTCCAAGAGTGTTCTTTTGTAAACCTTTCCTTTGCTTAAGGAAAATAGAAATTAATATAGCTTTACTCTTCAACTTCAGGAAAAGGCAACTTATATTGTGTTGGGGGAGGGTGGGGGGAGAGACCTACTACATTCTTTGACCCCTTTTCCACTGAACTGTTAACTGAGGCAAGGCAGTGTCTTGTAACTTGTTCTCACTAAATATTTTGAAAGTCACAGTAAGTGTGCTGAGTTCTACAACTCCATTACATTATTGCATATCAAAAAGTTATGTAAAACCAGGGAATTAGAAACATTGTTAATGGCTTTTTTTTTTTTTAGTGTACTTTTTCTTTAATGGTGCTAGTGCTTTCTTGGCCTTTAAAATGAGTGCTACAAAAAGCACTTTTTCACGTGCTTGCTTCAAAGGACAGGTATTCTCCACTGAACCCGACCCCATTTTATTGACTCATCTGTGGCTGTAGACTTTTTCTTGGTGGTTACTTAACGAAGAGTGTAGGTGTGTAACATGAGGATTTTTGTTTTCCCAGAGCAGTAGCCTGGTATCTTAAAAGTGAACAGAAGTCACAAAACTCCTGAATGAAAGCTGTTTGCCCTTTGCTGTGTCAGCAGAGATTCAGTTAAGGATCCTGCTTGGCATCTGAAAAAACAACTGGCTGGCTAGATCCACTCTTGCTTTTGAAAGAACAGAAAAAGGGTGTAATCTTCTAGCTAATCTGAGTTTCTTCAGTTCTAATTATTTTTAGCTTTAAAAGCATTTGATGTCAATTTGATTCTTGTCCTTCTTTAGAGCTGTTTTACACGCTTCTAACATTGCAATATGTCACTGGTCACCAACCAGTGAATCTTGATCCACTGGTAGATCTCGGAGCCTCTTGGAGTCCATCTGAGGCTGAGGTGGGGGGCTGAGTTGCCTGCGTGCATGCACGTGTGTGCCCCAGCCCGACAGGTCAGTCTGTGGGGGAGGGGAGGGGTGGGAGCTAGATCGAGGCCTCTGCAGTGAGGGACAGTGCTGCAGAGGTAGGAACAAGGGTAGGTTGAGTGAGGGCCCTGGCCAGGTGGAACTTGCCTACTGGGGACGCACACCCCCAAATAATTTTTTCTCCCTCTGCCTCGATCTGCCCCCACCTTTCCTCCCCACAGACTTACCTACTGGGCGGGTAGCAGTGGCACACGGTAGATCTTGCCACTGTGCTTTTGGGTTGCTTTTAAATGCCAAAGGTGATCTCCTACTTAAAAAGTGGGGGAAACCACTGCCCTACGTACTGGATAATGTAACACTCAACAGTTAGTTTTCTACGTTAAAGGCTAAGCATTAAAATGATTAATATTCACTTTGTATCTGGTCTGACTTCTGTACATTGTTGTATTATAAAATATCAAAATTCAGCAAAATGTTAATCATAGTTGATTAATATTTGGTAGTTGGATGGATATAATGTAAATATCAGTGTCCTCCAGATCAGAAATATGTGAGGTTGTTTAAGTTGGAGGGCAGGATTAGCACAGAAAAAAAGTATCTATTCACAAACAGCAGTGAGGTGCTGGCTCTTTCATCCTAAACCTTGATTTCTTTTAGCTTTGCACATAACCATATCCAAGCACACATTTTATGATTTCATTCAACAGCTGTCACAACCCAAAGGTGTGATTTTTGTTTTGTGTGTGCTTTGACACCACTGAATTATTTTCCCGCCAATTTGTAGCTTTCTTTGCAGTGTGCATTTCTTCTTTGCAGCACAGAAATGCATTTTGCAAAGAGTTCCCGCCATTTGTATTATAATTCGAGCCCCATTATTGGCTTGTGTGAAATTATGCACATGTGGCGGCTAGTGATTGGCTTGCTAGCCGTATAAGAGGCTTGAGCGGTTTCCGCCTAAGTTGGAGAACTCCGAGGAGAACCCCCGCAAGGGAGGACTCCACGAACACCAGGAGGAGGAGACTTCACGTCTCGTGAAGATCTCTAAGCGCTGCGGAGCCTATTGGACCCAGCGTGAATATCAAGAAGGCAACAGGGGTCTGATCAGCCTCTAGCCTCTCCCCGTCGCTGAGTGCAATCCTTGACGTATCCCTCTTCCTTGCGCGCACAAGTTCCACGGAGCCTAGCAAACTTTGTGTGAGTCTATTCAGAGCTCTTTTCTTCGAGTACTTTCTTCGGTTGGCACAACGGGCTCGCGCTTTAGAGCCTCCAACCGGATGGGCTAGAAGAATGTTCACGGGAAGGAACTCTAGTCCGCCTCTCTTCTTTTCTATCTGTAACCGCAACTCAAGCAAGTTTTCCTGCCTGCACCGCGACCATCTTCGGTGTAAGTAAATAATCTTAAATCAACCATTATGCGTCCATGACTAATTCTAGCGTGTCGCCCGTTTTCTCCGACCCAGCGTGCCCGGGCTGCTGGCCACAGCCCGCGCGGCGCGAAAAAGAGCCCGGATCGCTTCCGGCCCGCACAAGCTCCTGCACCATCATGCCATTTTGGGTTTTTAGTGAGGTATGTGAATAATTCTTAGATGTAATTTTACTATGTGGCAAGAACTCTGAATCATACCATTCCCCTTTAGTGATAAATATCACTGACCATAATGACAAGTGAGCAACTAAGAAAAACAAACACCTTCCTAGTTCCTAATGACATAATAATTAACTAGATAAATGTCTGTTGTGAAGACTGACTTGTACCTTGCTGTTTCGATTAATAACTTTCTCCAAAAGTTCAAGTTAAACTTGTATGCCAATCTTAGGTTAAGTAATGACTCTTTTACATGAGTAACCAGTGAGATGGTTCATGTTATCCTTTAATTCATCTGTTAGTCTCTTGTTGGGGTAAGCAAAATCTTTTACCAGTATTGTGTATGCATGAAAGTATCTTGCCTTAAGTTTGGCACAGTATGCAAAGAAAAAAGAAATGGAGTTCTGCTTGCTTGCAACAGAAATTCACAGTTAATCATCTGTAAAAGTTTCTTACTAGATGTTCCATGATGCAGTCCTTTTAAAAAGATTCTTGCATGCTAGTGTGCCGTTTCTATGTCAAAAGTACTGCTATACAGGAGTCTCTTGTGTTGGTGTCCGGTGGGCTGAATGGAATCCTAATCTTCTGGCGCTTTCCAAAAAAAAAAAAACCTCTGACTTGCTGACTTTTTGCAAGAACAGTTCTTTGCCTGCCCACTAATGTCCTATCCATGTTTAAGCCCATCACTTCTTTTAGTAAATTACCATAGGATACAGAGAGAGAGAGAATGGAGGAGGCTCTGCATACAATGCATTTCATATTACTGATGATCTGTAACTTTTTTTTGCTGGGCAGCATGACTATTGGCTAAACAGTGACGATTCTAGCTTTGATCAGGTTTTTAAGTCATGGATAAAAGGAGTGCCTGACTCAAAGGGATGAAGAATAGTAACTTTAGAAGGGTCTCAGAAATGGACTTTGAACAGTCAGTTCTTCATGACAGATACCTACCTAGGGAGAGAGCGGGGAAAAATCCTATGTAAGTGTATTTAGTGCTGTTCATTTCCTTCTTTCTGGTTGCCTCTAGTTCTTTGAGATTGTTCTTACCATAGTAAATTACTGTTCTATAGTCCTTGATTTTTTTTAAATTTTTTTTTAAGAACTTTCTAACTTTGTTGTGTAATCCCCAAATACCTCCAAAAAGTGATATGCCAGAGGCTGGAGAGGAGGAGGCACATAACTACAAATTTTCCCCAAGGAGAAGCTGTTTAGATTCTGATAGAATAACTTCTTTTTATTAATACTACATTTGAAACATCTTGATGAGTGCTTTTGCCTATTTCTGAAAATTGGCTTCTACATTGTATCTTTAAACCAGAGGCCTCTGGTGGGTGTAATCCAGGATCCATATTTATGGGAGCTCAAGATGTACACAGGCTTTTCAACTAGGCACCTAGATTGTAAATGATTTGAAAACCTCCAAACAATTTTAACAGCAAATGCTGTATTATTGGTTTAAATCCTCCAGCTATGTCAATAGGATTTCAACCCCGTATATGGGAATGTGTACATTTTGAACTTTGTGCAAGGATCATCTCAAGGAGAGCTGCTTTCTGGTGGAGATGTAATGTGTAGGACCAGAACCCTAAACTTTCGTTTAGTGTCCAAGATTTGGGCAGCAGACACAGCTTTTCTTCCCACTGAAGTGTTTGGGATGGTGCATCATGGTACATTCATATATTGAAAAAACTTCTCCTGCTTCAATCAAAACTAATCAATAATGGAGGTGTATGAATGATATCTTTTATCATAAACCCCAACAAAAGTGAGGAGATATTAAAAACATGGAGAGCAGGGATTAAGTAATTGATAGTGATGGGTAGGCAAATGACAGTGGAAGTTCTCAGCTCAGATTGACATAAAACTTGTAGCTTTGTTCACTTTTTCTGTGATAGGCCCTAAAAAAAGTGGGTATTTAAAGTCAGCTTGCCATTTTTGTAAGGAGCCAAAATAAAGACCAGTAAATATTAGTTGGTGTGATATAACCCTGCATATTCAGAACACAGCAGTATGTTTGCTCAATTTTTAAGTGAGATCTTATTAGATGACCTACCACAAGGGCTTTGCATTAATAGTGCTGAGGTCTGGTCTTGCTGTTGTGAATCCACATGGGGCATTTATACACTTTTAATCCCGTGATGCACTGGAGATCCGCTGCTTCGGAGTGGACTCGATTAATTAAGTCTGCTCCACGTGCAAGCTGATGCGAACTGTGCTGTG